AAACTCACATATAGGTGCATGCACCTATAAGCGGGGTAATACGGTAATAAAAACCACAATATATTTTTTAAGCGCCTTTTTTATATACATTTGCGTTAAATTGTATATAAGTTTTAAACACATCATTACTATACCTATAATTATAATCCACATAATAATAGCCATAAACTTAATGATTATATATTTATTTTTATTAATGTTTTTTCCATTCATTTAACAATAAACATGTTTGTTTTTACGGCCGATAAAGATTAAGCTAAAATACCTGTGCGTTTAAAACCTATGGTTTTTCAATTAGCGTTAAAACCTATCAAAAAACTTATTGAAATGTTTAGTACTTTTTTAATGTATTTATTTTACAACTTTTCTCTACTTTTCAATGACTTTTATATCAATTAATATATTATACAGTATTGAAAAATAATAGTAATTTGCTGTATATTTCCCATAGGATTAACGTAACTAATTTATAAAAGTGGATTTTTTTACAGTAATGAAAGTACAGTAAAATAATTTTATAATTAGCCGTTAGAATAACTGAGGGATGAGAGCACAGGTAGTTTCACCATCATATGTGAGGTGCCCTTATCTACCATATAATACCCATCCCATAGTCCATTGTCAGCCTATTATATGTACTAAACGTATAGATATTTTTATCATTTTAATTGTCTATTACTTCATCCCTGAAAACAACGTTTGAATACAAATTTTTTGTATATATTTTGTTGTTTTGTTTAATATTTATTTGTTTTGTGGCACAAAATTATTATATATTTTTACATTTTAAAATTTTTATCAATAGAAGTTTTAGTTAACTCTATCTCACTTTTATGATAATTATATTTTGTTCATAAAATCATTAATTCAAACAATAAATATTTTTACCGTTAGTGAAAAAAACCTTTCAATAATTTACACACAAATAAATAAATAAATAAAAATGTAATATTGTTTTTGTCTATCTGTCAGTAAATCATCAAACATTTCAATAACACATAGAATTATATGTAAATAATTTATTCATGAATTTTTTACATTTATGAATTTTTAAATCTCTCTCTCTCTCTCTCTCTCTCTCTCCAAATGTATATCCATTCAAAGATTAAAAACATTTTTTACTAAAGTGTTTATTGAATTTTACATTTTATTAAAACAAAACTAATATTGAATTAATTCACTACAAGAATAACCCATAATATGAATTGAAAAGTAATAAATAATTATCAGTTTTTTCCAACATTCCTGTCATTTATTAGTTGTATTTTTTGTGTGTAATTTTATTGTATTTCAAAACAAAAGGCAATTATTATATTTGATTTTCAATACGATGTGTGAAAACCAATGATTGAAAGTGATATACAAAACAAATGAAAAGTTTTATTTGATTTGATTATAAATTCAGTGAAAAATAGCTGCGGAAACCAATTAACGGCTCTAATAGGCTATTAATGGATGTATTTAACTGACAGTTCAGCCAATGTTTAACATTGGGATTGAATTGAATTAAGAAATCTTATAAATTATTTTTCAATTTAAAATTGACAGTAATTTGACAGAAATATTATGCCGTAATTTTCCCGTTAATTGACTGTCACTGTTATGTCAAATACGGTAATCAAATGATGTTATAAAATATGCTATAAATAAATTGATTGACAAAAGGATATGAAATAAAGTGTTAACCATTTTTTTAGTGGGATTTTTAATTTACATTTTATTTTACGCCCAAATATTTCATATAATTTACAGAATTATTGAAAATGCAATAAATATTGTGTTTTGTTTTATAAAGTCTTTTATACAATGATTATAATTATTGAGTAAAAAAATGTTTGAATTTTCATTTCATTTTTAAATGATAATATTTTTTAAGTTATATTATTATTGTATTTATTATTAATGAAATAAATATGAAATTATACTTTGAATTCAAAAGTCAATCACGAGTTTGTGTTTAAAAGTTAAATGTTATGTTAATTAAGTAATTGTTTTCTTTGTTGTCTGTAAAAATCACAACACATTTTTAAATCGTTTATATTTTTTTTATAATAAATGTAATTCTCTTATCGTTACACAAAATAAATGTATAAATTATTAACAAAACACTATTTTTACCATATTTTGCATACAGTTTTACACGAATCGCCACTATTTTAGCCCATAATCGGCCCAAAATGTTGACCAGAATTTGGGTTTCGCTCATATTATGGCAGTATTTCACTCACATATCGTTTGCTCAACAAATCGACAGTAAGTCTCAACTATTCATTCAATTTTATAGCAGAATATTCTGTAAAAACAAAAATCATAATTAAAACAAACAATTCTTTATAAACTGTAACACTAGATTAACTATGAATGTTAATCATTGAATTAAATTCACCTTACTAGTATTATTGGATGTTATGCTTAACTGATTAATATTAGTCATGAGTACTATATTTTTGATAAAATCAATGAAAATGTTAAATTAAATTTTATAATTGAAATACAATTTCTGCAGACACTCTGTGCCGAAGCGAAGGCTTCTTCCGGGACCCCAAAGATTGTGTCCAATTTTATCGGTGCGTCGGCGACGAGACGGCCGGCGGTTACCGATTGTATCGGTTCGCGTGTCCGGCGGGGACCGTGTTTGACGAGCGCATATCGGTGTGCAATTGGCCCCATTCGGCCCCACCCTGTGATACACAACAGCAACAGCACAGCCAATACGCCGGCGCCAGACAACCCGCGCCACCGGCCAGCCATCAAACCGATCCATACGATAGCGCACAGCCAGTGGCCAGCGGTCAGTACGATAGCCAACGGCAACCGGTGGCTAGGGATCGGCCCAATCAGTATGATTATCAACCGCAGGCCAGCGCTGGTGATCAACCGGTAGACCAGCCGTACGCCAGCGCTCAAGTCAGCCCTCGGGACGAATGGCCCGCCGATGAACAGCCGGTTCACTCCCGAGTGCTCTACGACGACGCCGAGCCGGCAGAGCCCGCGCAGGCACCGGCATCCCGGCGCCCGTCCCGGTCCCGCACTACGGCTAGACCTGCGGCCAAACCACAGGCTCAGCCCAGTGAAGATGAGCATGGTGAAGCGCCTACTAGTAGCCAATCGGATAAGTTCCCGCACGTCCGGCCCCGAGACCCGTCGCGGTATTTCTCGCCCGCCCCGCAGTCCCCGACGGACGACGACTGGGGTCCGCACGACTCGCAGCAAATGCCCGGCGCCGACGATAAAGACCAACAGGAGCTGCAGCCCCGGCATGTGAGTATTGTTTGTCACAACTCTATGTAGTATAAGACACAAACGTAAAATATAAGATATAAACATGTTTTCTTTATGAAAAATATTTTACAAACTGTAATAATACAATTTTTATGAATATAATACGTTGAATTAAATCCACCTATTATAAGTTATTGGGTAGTATGGTATTGGGCTTTAAGTAAAATATTTTCACAATGAAAAATTAAACATATTTATGTTATTTATAATTTTTTACAGACTGTAATGGTACATTTATCATGAATGTCAAACATTAAAATAAATGCAACTATCTAATAATATTAGTGTAAATTCAGTTAATTTTTTGATGACAATCTATGTATTATTTTAGGAGCAAATCAGTCAACAAACAGATGAACAACAAAAAGGAGACAATAATGGGGCCGAAGACCAGCGCCAGGAGGACAACAAGTCTGCCTCCCGGAGCCCGCCCTCTAAGTCGGCGACCAAAGCGCCCAAAACTACTGCCCCGAAGACCACTGCGAAACCCAAAGCCAAGTCCAGCAAAAAGCCGGACCAGAAATCTAAGGCACCCGTGAAGTCAAAGCCGACGCCTTCACCGCCGAAGAAGACAAAGACCGCGCCTAAGAAACCACAACAACGACAACAGACCACCACTACTACTGCCACCACTAGTTCGCCGACAACCACTGCCCTGACCTCCGAGAGCGACGATAATGAGGACCAGAAACAGACGGACAGCACCGCCACTACTACTGAGCCGTCGGCCGCTGAGACCACCGAACCGGACGCCGAGGCCGTCACCACTGAGCCTAAAGAGTCAGATACTGACGAGTCGGACACTGAGTCCCAGAAGATTAGTCAACAAAAGGATACCGACGACGACGTCCCGCCGCCGGCCGACGACGACTGCCAGTGCTCTCCAGTGAAACGGCTCTTCCAGTGCCGCACTTCGGGTTCGTTTAGAGACCCCAAGAATTGTCACACTTTTTACAAGTGCACCGAAACTGACGATGGATTCACTGCCGATCAGTACGACTGCTCCGCGGGTCTGGCCTTCGATGAGGAGTCCGGCAAATGCGTGAAGGAGTCCGACACCACTGCCTGTCCCAAGAAGTCTAAGGGATCCGGTGGTAAGCAAATTGTCTTAATTGTGTTTTTAAGTGAATTAAAACTTTATTAAAACTATAATTAATTCCTATTATACTTAATTAAAAGTATATTTAATTAACACTTTTATTATTGATTACCATATGTTGTCTACCAATAGGTGATAGTAAGACCAGCGGCCCCTCCGACCAGATTAAGGACAGACCGCGGTTTACGCCCAGACCTACATCTACTACACCCAAAAAGCCCACCACTAAAGGTATAACCAATTAATCTATCACTAAATCAGTAGATAATGTCTGCGATTATCACTCCATCAGATCTCACCACCACTGAAGCGACCGATGAGGACCAGACGGCCAGCTCTATCGCTCCGGAGGACGACAGCAGCACCGCATCGGAGACCACCACCACTGCCGCCGACGAAGAGTCGTCTACTAAGCCATCGGACGAGACCACCACCACTGCCGCCGATAAAAGTATATTTAATTAACACTTTTATTATTGATTACCATATGTTGTCTACCAATAGGTGATAGTAAGACCAGCGGCCCCTCCGACCAGATTAAGGACAGACCGCGGTTTACGCCCAGACCTACAT